CCATTACAAACAAGTTAGGGGAAACCGAGCTTGAGAAAAAACATGATTTAAGAAAAAGGAATTGCAACCACAGAACCACCTCAAAATGTTTCCGCCCTGTGTCCTTTCTCCCTCTCGGGGGGGTGGCCCTATGTGTCTCGGTGTGTTTTCGACGCTCGTGTCGACCAGTGGTCCCTTTGGTGGGAGTGCCGGTCGAGTGGTCCCTTCGTTTGGAGTCCCTTCAGTGACGGGCACTCCATCGTGGTCAGAGGAGTTGGCACCCGACGTACGTTACGAAGGGAGACCCGTACGAGCCGAAGGTCTCGTTGGTGTGTGCGCGGGCCCTATAAGAGGTGGGTCGCAATGGGTGACCTGGCAGCGAGGGCGCTGGTTTGTCTTGATTCTAAGGAAGTAGAAGCAGATTGATAGTAGCACACTAGCAGAAGCACACTAGCAGAAGCACATGCTGTCAGTGAGATAGCAACTATACAGTAGAATGCCATTTCACTTCACCAATATGTTGAAGCCGCTCCAAATCAGTTTCTCTCTAAATAGAAGTCCGCCCGTCTTATCCTCTATGTGAAGATGACCCCTCTGTAAAATGTCATATTCACCATAGAATGGGTCCCTGAAATTGCATCATATAGATAGATGTCAATGGTCCCAAGTTTATAGAGAAACCTTCACTACCGTGTGTGACACTAGTTACTACTAGTAGACTAGTAGTGTGTGATTATAGGATATAGGGGCTTCCAGCCAGGACATCCCGACAGGATCGCTTTGGAGATGTTCTTTTTCTTCACCCCGGTGAACCGTTCGAACCTCTCGGGCGAACCCAACAGAACTAGCCGCCCCCTTTTCCCGGTCCCACAGCCGTTGCAAGCCGTTGCCGGAGAAGCTACCATCCAAGCGCGAATGCGGGTGACGATAGAAAAGAAGACTCCATCTCTCTTCACTAACAACATGTAGCATTTAGTCATCTATTGCTAGTGATGGGTGGGTCTGCTGCTGGGTTGTTAATGGATGTTAATGGCAAGATAGCCAATTTAGATCAATTTAGGAGCTTCACCTGGCGCAAATATCCTTCTCCTTCAGGCACCCTTTGTCCTCCGGTCACTCGCACCACGACCCTACCACCCTTCGACCCGTCTCCGAGCGGCGCTCGCTCGTACTCCTGCTTGCTGGTGAGCACGTCCCCACGCCTCAAGACGGACCCACACCAAAGCGCCAAAGCGCTCCAGCGAAGCGCTGCGGCAAGCGGTGCGGTGTGCATCAATGGCGCGATCCAAAACCGATCGCGCCATATGCATCCAAATGTCCCAAGAAGAGCAGATACTGCTTGCCCAAAACAACGAGATGAATCTCTCTGCAGACCAGATCACGCCACCTCAGGTCCAACGTGGTCCGGTTCAGTCCAACGCTTCCCCGTCCACTCGGCTCCGCTTTCCCTCCGGCTCGGCTCGGTCGCTCCGTCGTCGCTCGGCCCGGGTTCGCCTGAGGGCCATCAGCATATCTTGGAGGTCATCGCGCGTGTGCTTCGAGGTCAGCACCTCTTCGGCGGTAGAAGTTGGAGCTTGAAAACCCAGGGAGGAGGAGGGAGAGAGAGAGGGAGAGAGAGAGAGAGGGGGGCAGAGGAGGGAGAAAAAAAAAGTAATAAACTCCCAGTGCCGGTATGGCTTTTTCATGTATTTTCATTGGGGAAGACCCCCCCGGCCCAATCATGACTGTGCTCCCGCATCGTCATATAGATACTGTGTTAAATATTATGCAATGATAGAAATGGCCGGAAGGCCATCCAAGCCCTCTTTGTAAAGGACAAATATAAAAAGCTAGCAGTTGATCTGCTTTTGTCTATCTTGTTCAGCTTGTTCTCAGCCACATCCATCTTCAGACCTTCCTTTCAAGCCTAAGCAGTGACTTCCACGTCCGTTCCCATCTCAGGCCCCTGACGGCCCAAACGGTCCTTGGCGGACGTCCGGTTCGGACAACGAACGGATCCCACCGGAACATGGATGGATTCACGTCCGGCATCGGGACAGGTGAGCTGCCTGCAAGCTCCCAGGAAGCTCGGGATTCGGTCCACCTGAGGTTCCACCGGACAAGACCGCCTGAATTCCACGATGTTTTTGGGGCCCCCAACATCACCTGTTGCGAGCCATGCAGAGAATCCATCCTAAAACGCTGGGGGGAGCTCGCAGCTAGTTCGGCTGTGGCTCAAAACCCGAAGTCTTTGCGGAGCCCTTAATCCCTCATAGGTTGAACTCGCCATGCAGTCGTTTATTGTTCCTGTGACCTTTTCGGTGGGAAAAAACACCACGGGCCTTGCAGTGTTCCATGACCCAAAACTCCAGGCCAATGAGGAACAACATGTCCTGTTCCATCTCTGGCTATGACTCACTGAAGACTGAAGAAAACCCTCCGCCGAGGCACTGTTTGTCAACCTTTTGTGCCCAATAGCGCCAGTCAGATTCGTCGCGCAGGGCGGTCTTTCTCGGCACCGCCTTGCCAATGAGAGGGAAGAGCTGCATCACACGACCAACAGCAGCCCTTCTGGCCTTTCTGAAACGACCACAGCTGCATTGAAGCAGGTTTGGGTGAAAACAAGGTTTGCCCGTCCCCCTAGGGCTCCTGGCCCACATTCTGAGAAGGTAGAGACAGACCCCCCAAATCCACCCACCCCAACCACGGTTCACCTGAGGATGTGGGACAGCCCTGCGGATCTTTGAAACCTCCGACATCACTCCGACTTCAACAGTCTTCTCGCTGCTTTCGAGGGAGGATTCCAACCTCACACCTCACCTTCTCATAGCTTCTACACCCAAATCACTCCAAAATTTCTTAGCTTCCTACGGTTTCTTGCGAGAAAAGGCCAATCCAACCTATCCCAACCTTCTCATCACTCAGACCAAGTGTCTTCCCAGACCCACCCAACCTGCTCCTCTCTTCGGTGAAGACGTGTCTAACCCCAACACGGACGCTCCGCTCTGGAGCTCAACGGGTGGGTGAGCCAATGCTGAACAACTATCGGTTGACCACCTGTTAACCAGCGCTTCATTTGGTACAGAACGTGGGTCTTTCCGACCCACGTGGCGCAACCAACTCACGAAAGCCGTGTCGACTCCCGAGGTTCTTCCGCCGCCTTCTCAGACTCGATCCGACCTGCCGAGGGCCCGCGTCGTTTCGCGGCTTTCGCGGAGCAAAGGTGAGTGAAAGCGAAGATGGGAGCCCCCCAAAGGCATCCAACGGCCCGGCGGCTTCGAAGTATTTCATGGTACTTTATATCTTGAGGGATGATCAAAACGCTTGAACGAACAAAATGGAATAGCTGGAAACGTATCGTTTCTTTATGTGTTTTGGTATCGTTTTCCAAGGAAAACCACACCTTCTACCATTCTGCCCTTAGAAACAACGGCAGCCTGTCTCTTTTCACAGGCCAGGGTCTTGCCATCTCTCTATATTATAGACTTATAGACTTAATTATATACCAGCACCCAGAAACCACCTGTTAGGGTCTCCAAACAGCTTGTTGGAGGGTCCTGGTAGATGTTATCTAGTGCGTTTCTGAGCTGACAAACCTGCGGTGTTTCAGACCCAGAACTCGCGAAGCTAGGAAGAGCCCTCCATAAAGCTCGCTTTGCTAGGTCTGATACTCCAGAGGCAGGTCTGACACAGCGATATCCACACATGTGCGGCATTGAATTCAGGAAGGAGGTGGCCAAGGCTCCAATGTCCCAAGGAGGAAAGTGACTCCAAAGTGAAGCATGTGGATCACAAAGAAACCAGATGTATATGTTCTCATAATATGTATCTTTTCTCAGAGTGGTTTGACTTCTTTCCAAGACCTGCGAGCGCTCCTGAGCAACAGCGGGGCCTGGCTCTTCATCCTCATCACCTGAGGAGGGTCTGGAAGTGGCGTGGCTAGGAAGACCCCACCGGTGGAAGGACCTATGAGACATGACCCTCTTTGGGTGGGAAGGGGCAATGATATTTTGGATGGTTGGTATTGTAAGAAGATAGGGTCAGGTTCTAGGATGCTAGGTACGCTTCGGATGGGGGGCACCCTCCCACCAATGGATTCGGGTCCAATTGTCATTATTTCATGAGATTCATGAGTGATTCCGCTCTACTGCACTGAAGATCGAGAACCCGGTGGAGTTCTGGAGAGCCTCCCAACTTTTAGATGTACTGGCTGTGGCAAACGACGCATGTCTTTCGCACGCATGTCGCACATCATTCTGGCATCATGATGCGCGTTTCTCCAACAGCCAGAAGCCTAAAGTGGGCGGCGAAAAGCCAAGGAAAAGGCTTCAGACCTGTCTTTGGAACTTGTTTCTCTATACAGCTTCGTACTTCAGCCGATCAAATTTTTGGGAAAGGCCGAGGGTCGCCTTTGAGCTATAAGAGACGCTGCCGGGTGCTAAGGAGATGCATCCGCAAAGGAACTCTTGGGCTGGGCTAGATCACTGAGAAGTTGAGCACCTCAAACTTGAAAGGGTGACAAAACTGAATCGGATAGAGGATGTCTGAGAGAAATGTTGTGCACTTGACTCCCCACCCAAGTCCTGCTCTGCAGTATAGCTTTTGTTGGAGCTTTGTGATGCCTTGTGCAGCCACAGGCCAAAACCGTGATGAACCTTGTCACTGAGCCGTTGAGTCATAAACTATCTGCCTTCCTGTCAATCTAACCCGAGCCCCCCCTTAAAAAAAGAGAGCGGGACGCTATGCGGGTGTGTGTGTGTGTAACCCTTGGAGTCATAGGGCTTCTTTTGAAGTTTGCTGGATGACACTCACAAATCTTGAAGTGTACCATGTTGTTGCAGTTGAACGGAATGATACGCACAAATCTTGAAGTGTACCATGTTGTTGCAGTTGAAAGGAAGTCATAGGGATGCTTGTGCATTTGTTTTGGTTTTACAGCAGGGGGGCTGGTTGTTCATGCAAGTACCAGCCCAACGAAGAGGCTTGCATTGAACACTGATATCGGTGGGGACGCTCACCGACGTACCTGCATTTTTCCTTTT